TTGGGTTAATTCCCAAGCTGAGCAGACTTTTATAAGTATACTCATAATGTTTAATTATATTTTTTTTATTTAAATCGCATTATGTATTTAATTATTTTTCTTATAATATTTGTAGCATCAGATGGAGGGGGAAAGAGAAACGCAGATCCAGACGCAGTCTGCTACTTCTGGATCATCCGCAGTAGAAACAGTTAACGATGAGGATGTTGTCACCGAATCGAATTCGGATGCGGAAGCGTGGCGGGGAAGCGGATCGTGTATAACAAAAATTTTCATAAAACCTTTGAGATACTCTATAGATTATATTAATTTATGCATGAATAAATTAATCTCATTAATTCATTTATTAAGAACTCAATTAGGAAAAATACCTGGAGGCCGACTCGGTTAATAACTTGAGTTCTTTGACCTCGAACAATCCTTGCTCCAAAGCTTTGTGTTTAGAAAACCAATGTCTTCCACGTCAATTCCTAGAATCCACGAAGACGTGTGTGTGGGCACACATGAGACAAAACAGGTTACAATAAACACTCGAATTTCCACAAATACCAATGTATGCATGATGTGGAATTTTTGGAGAAAAATTTTCCCTTCTCACTCTTAGAGAATTTCGGCCACCTCAAAATTAGGGCAAAATTCGTTTTTAAGAATTGTATCAAAAATTATGTCTCAAAAAATTGTTTTTACTATTCTCTTATTTATAGAGTAGAAGTCAAACTTCTAGAAGGAATCCAATCTCTATCTCTAAGATAAAACTTGTCAATTATCTCCTATTTGAATTTGGAACAAAATCTCCTCTTTTCTTTTAACTATTATAGCCGGCCATTCTAAGGGGATTTTACCCCTGTGTAGGCGCCAATATCAGATAGGGAAGGAAGAGAAAAATCATCCTTTATCCTGTAGTCTAATTTTGACTCATATTCAAATTCCAATTTAAGTCAAACTTAAATTAATTTGAATTCTAAATTGAACAACTTATCAAATAAGTTTAAATGGATAAATCTAGATGTGTTCAAATTCAAATTTAAATAATCACATTATTTAAATAATAATTAATTCTCAATTAATTATTTTTGAGTGTTTAATTTTAGAATTCCGTAATTTTAAAATTCCCATTTTACCCTATGTGTCTGGTAGAATTACTAGGATGACGCGGGGACTAATGAACCTATAATCCCGAGCTCCAATAAAATTAAAAATCAATTAAACACTTTAATTAATTAATTAATTCTATTAATTCCAATAGTTACTCCACTATAAACTTGGAATTACACTCTCGAAATTATAGATATAAATTACTTCTAAACTGTGAAGTGTCCATTTGATAGAGTCATGGCATATAGATCAATCCTCCATAAATAATTCATAATTAGAACAAGGTAAAATCCGTTAACCTCTCTAATTACTTCTTTATCCTTGAGTACCATTGATTCTCTAATGGACA